AGACAAGGACAAGAGGAGGACAAGGCCCGGACACAGAGCCGGGCCACAGAGCCCTGCCACAGAGTTCAGGGGCGCGGCCACAAGATAGAACCCCAACAGTAAACTGTAACAAAAAAAAGTCTCCCGAGGAAAGTGCATGTTTTGGCACCCCTACAGGCGTGAAAGAAATGAAAAAAGAACCTACTGTAATCAGGAACTTGGGTGAAACTTTGGCACCGATGGCGAGGAAATAACGGATAATAACGACGACAGCATTTCGATGGCAGCGGGTAGTCTAAAACAGTCTGATTTCAAGCTTCAAAGAAGAACAATATAAAGATCCTGCTGGTTCACAGAGTTGATGAAAGGAGTGTTGTGGGTCTTACTCCACAAGTCCAGCGAAGTGTCCGTCCAGTGTTTCCTGGAACGTTCGCAGACCTGGTGAAACAACGGACGATACGGTGAAGCGCCAGCATTTTTTGCTGGGGCGTCCAATGGGTTTGCCCGAGCCAGCATGCCCACAAAATCCCGCAAATACAAAAGCAGAAAAAGCTCGGATGGAGGTTGAGCAGGGGGCGGGGGCAGGGGTCAATGCAGTTGGCCATGCACTCTACGTTCAATGTTGTTTTCGACGATTGTGTCTTGACTCTTTGTTTTGATTCATCCACTAGCTTCCTGGGCCCTTCCCGTCTGTTGGGACCTGGATCAGGTCAGCATGGACTTCAACGCTCTTGAGTGTTTGATCTCGTCGAAGGGTCAGGCTATTGCTGGGACTCTGTCTGGGGAGAATCTTATCGAGGCATTGCATTGACTGGAAGCATGTCGCGGTTTGTCCTTCAAAATATGGCACTCAAATGTCGGCTGCGGCAAAACACAAATCCACAGAAATAGTCCATCAGGGGTCCAATTCAAACCGAGAAGCAAAAAAAGACACGGTGCACCTCCATATAACCCCATTTAAATGACACGCGCGGAGGCCTGTTCCAGTTCACAGAAACACATCACAAAAACCTGGGACCAACACAACCTTCCGTCAAGCATCCTGGAAGGGGCCGTCTGCAACCGGCCAGGAGGAACATATATCAACCAAACACACACGCTACATATGTTGTCGGAAAATAAGTTGCACTTCTAGCACAAAGGTATGAGGTGTGCTAGGCGCGCGGATTGAACGCACCGTCACGACACGACATCTGCCGCGCATCGCGGTACCGCCTCCTCTGGAAGCAGCTGGCTCTGCATGCTGCGCGGGCACTACGCCCAAGGCTGCAGAACGTGGAACAAATTTAACCACCCCATACCTTTTGGGCACATGCTTAGCCACTGGCCTTTGATTCGCCCTGAGATTTTTGAACATGGAGCTCTGGCTCCCGAGACCTGCGAATTCAGATCAAACAACTGACTCCCCAGATGACCCCATCTGAAAGGCCAAGGTGGGCGTGCGCTAAGAAGAGGAATCCTGTTGCTTCCACGACCACTGTCATTGTGAAGGGCCGGTCGACCTTAAAACACTGAGCCACAAACCACGAAGAAGGCCAGCGAACATGTGAAGCAGCCCATCTAAATGCGAGGCATATATGTTTTTTGCTAGGTGCGTCTTGCAAACGTTGCACAAAAAGAGGTTTGCTAGCAACACTCAGTCAGTCCAGCAATCGCAAGACTTGTGGAACCTTTTCTTAGATTCCCTTCGTCCGGAGTGCTTGGAACATTGACTTCACTAAGCCAATGACTCAGAGGTACGTTGTGCGCAAAAAAGGACGAAGGCATACCCCCTGCCCTGGCGGTATTGGAATCGCCCCCGAAATTGGTGGACAAGGATATGCTGTGCTGGATACGCCCAATTCATGGATGGTCCTTGAAAACTGACCTACAAGAGTGCCCCACCCACAGACCTGGCACACCCGAGCAATGAGCGAGGCATTGAATTTTCCATGCAGGCCAGGATGAGTCACCTCCCAAATCATGAAGCTGGAGATGGCATAGCCTCCATTACACATCCATCGCCACATTGAACGTCTTCGTGCATGCACGAGTCCTCCCCGTCGCATGCACGAGTCCTCCCCTGGTCGCATGGGACCACATGGGCTCGTCCGCTCAGCTGCCGGAGACAACCGCTTTTCCCGCGCAGCACCCCATCTTCTGACGCCTCGGAAGGAGGCAACTCTTCGTACCGAGGGTTCGATCTGAATGCTGACAGATTACGGGAAATGGTCCCAGAACTAGCGAACAGGTCATGACTTCAACTTGTCGGGCGAATATAATGTCAGGCTGTTGGCAGAACGCGGTCATTGAGCCATACCAATTCCAAATCACTTCTCTCAACCTTTCAACAGTTACAGTTAGAATATGTTAGCATGGAATCAGTTTTTATACATAGAGAGCCCTCTGTCATCGGCCCCCTGAGGATAAAAACAAGACAAAACATGAAGTCAGGAGTCACACAGGTCTTCATTGAAGGGGGCCGCTTCAAAACGGGCTAATCACTGGACAGGCCGATGGTGAGACACCACCTGAAGTTCAGAAGGGATGTACCGACTGCACTTTGGTCCCACACCACTACAATTTGGAGCCAACCAAGGCAACGCTGGCAGTTCAATCTACCTTGCTGGCACTAAGAAGGTGGAAAAGGCCAGATGTGAACGTTGAGGTGTAGGCCCGAATGGCGTCCCTCTGTCAAAACGATTATGGACAATCCACTGCCACCTGGCTCCAAAGCACATCCAGTGCTTTCTTGTACCTTGCGGCCTCTGCGATACCCCCCCCCCTGTGCCTCGAGCCAAATATCCCGCCACTGGCGCAGTTGATGCAGCTTGGGAGTTGGACGCAACTTGAGCCAGTGAGTCCAGGCGGGCAGGCACAGCGGATCTGGAGCGGCCTGCCTGAAGAAATGCATCACACCAAACAGCTGGCCCTGCCTGATTTGAAAAGTAGTATGACGTCAGTTTTCAGGTGCACCGTATCCGTATTGGCCGGTTCCACACCTATGTTTGGAGCCCCTCAAACATCCTCAAAGCCTGGATTTGTTCAGCATCATCTCTAACTCCTCACCTGCATGTGCTTGGCCACTGGATCGAAGGAGTCCATCACCACGCCCGCCACGAAGAGGTGTTCTGTCGAAGCAAAGGACGTGAACGACTGGACGCGTTTTCTGCAGGTGTTTTTCTGGGTTGGGACATTGTTGTTTCCGGCCCCTCTGCCTGAAAGATGAGGAAAAAGGGACATCGTCTAGAAGGTGGGCTGAGCTCTCGGGGGGTGTGGCCAGGATATGAGTTGAGCAAGCTCCGATGATGCATGTCAATGGCTGTCGTTGGTGGCGCTACCGTCATCCCATGGTTCAATGTGACAGCAGGAACAGCCTTCCTGAACAACCGAAGTAGCTGGTGGAGTCGCTTCAACCGTACCCAGCTACACCTGAAGCCCAGCATAGCTTGAAAAAGGGCACCAGCAGCCAGACCTAGCAAAATCCGGTTGCTTCTTCTAAGCCCTCAGATGCATGAAAAAACCTGCCAGGTTAGGCTTGACAGCTGACCTCCTTCTGCAACGTCCCATGGTCCGCCTCCACTAGCGCGTTCGTGCATGATGCACACATCCTCCTGGCCAAGAATGCAAAACCTGAGGGGTCGACATGGATTCGACCCTGGATCACCGGAGGCCTCAGCTTTTTCTCACTTGCATGGTCCCTCTCAAAAGACCAGGCCAAGTCAACCGGTTTGCAGTCCAAGTGCCAATGACACACCAGTTGGCACATGTGGGCACCAAATCACACAGCTCCATCACTCCATCACTCCAACACACACCACATCGCACACACGCAGCGTTCCGTCAGACGATGTCCTGGGAAACCCGGTGGTCACCGGTGTTCCCCCCCCGTGGTCGCCGCTCGGTTCGGCGCGAACGGTGTTCCGCCTGGAGCACCGAGCCCAAGAGTTCCAAGGGCTCCATCGCCGTCGCACTCCACTGGAGACCTCGCTGGCGATCGATCAGGCGAGACCACCGACCGGGCCCATGAGGCTCGGTGGGAACGAGATGGAACGAGGAACGAGTCAAGAGGAGTACGGAGTACATGAAAAAATTATAAAAGATGTGTCTTAAAGAATGTTTAAGGCTCAAGTTGAGCAAGTGGAGCAGTTAGATGGTGCTGTCTCGGACCTTAAGAAGCCCCAAACGTCACCCAGGCTGTGGCTAAGGGCTGCAAGATCGGAAAGCGGGCTCTGAAGTAGGCGCCCCGACCTTCCTGCAGACTAAAGAACCTCAACACAGTTCAGCAGCAGGTTCTTCAACTTGGACCACTTATGACATACAGACTCTTACCTGACCCAAGGGCTTCATGACCGGACTCTGGAGGCACAGGTCAGCCCCATCTCAGTTCGGCGGCGTCTGCTTCCTCACTTCACCCACCCGAGCTTCACCCGTCTCGGCGCCAAACGTCGATCCCTCGAGCTTGAAAAGCGTTGGAAACTGGGAGGCCTCACTCCGAGCTGAGCGGCTCGGCACCGTCTCCCGTCCGAGGCGCGAGGGGTCTTTTTGAGGGGTCCCAGCGGGTCAGCCCCATGGCACCCCGATGGAGACAAGCATTGGTTGGGGGTGGAAAGAACAACGGCTCGATCGGTGAGATGACCCCTTTGGGGTACCCAAAGAAAGCACGAAAGCAGCAAACAAAAGGGTCGTGAAGGCTCCAGGCGCGTCAAAAGCCCGAGTGTTCCAGAGGCGAAACTCCAGCGCAGTGATCTCCCATGCTGATGACATAAGCGACATGTCTCTCTCAGCATGATGATGCAGAGATGCCATCAAGACATGAGGGAAGCGGAAGACCGCGAACCCAGTTCCATGAAGCTGGGCTCGCCGCTTGCACGCAACATCTCGGCCGGATCGAGGCCTTTTTTCACCAAAGGGTGCGGGTGCAAAGTCTGCACTGACCAGCAGCTCACCATGAATCCCTGCTTAGCAGGTGCATAGGATTGGAGTCTGAAGGCGTCTTGATGAGAGAAAGGGAGCCTCTTGTTGTCTTGGAAAATCGATGAGAGTTCGCAGGTTTGGGCCTCCCGGACCTTCAGACGCCCCGCTGGCCCGAATCTCAAACAAGAAGTTTGGCCCGCCCCGGGAGGGGGAGTAACAGGAGGGAGGAGCGGTGGATGTTCACACCTTTGCCGGATTTGGGGGCGTTTTCACCCGGCTATTACATCGCACCACCACTGGAGGAGACCTCAACAATCTGAATCATTTGGAATCCGGAGTGCTTGTCGTGTCGCCGTATTGATATTGATCATCCAACATTTCACTGGCTATGGTGGCTTGGAAGATCGTTGGCACAAAAAAAAACTGCGTGCCATCTGTGTCCTTCACGGCAGGCCAGCACTTGGCTACAGCGCCTTCATGGCTGCTTCCTAGGTGGAGAGGGAGCTCAAAAAGCCTAGAAACAAAGGTTTCTGTGAGATCTGTGAGGTAGTACCAGCATGAAGGAAGTCTGCTTGAGGTCACAGATTTACGGCGATTAGTCATCACACGCGGAAAACAACACCAGGGTCTTACGTCCAACATCCAGTATCCACCCCCTAGTCTGGACCCCAGCGATGCCCAGCGTCTCGTGATCCCTCCTCCTCGACGCAGCTGTTTGCTTGATGATATCAGCTGATCGTAAACCCCTGGGCATGGCACATGCGGAAAACACAGGGATCAACGTCTAGTGACATCAAAAACACTCCTCAAGCTACGTCAAAGGAGGCTGAACCCGCCCAGGTGCCGAAGAATCTTTGAAATCTTCGTGTCCAAAACCTGACAGCAAACGCCACCAAGATATCAAAACAATGATCCTCTACCGAACGTGTGTTTATTCAATGACCTTTGAAGTTGCCACACACATGCAACAGCTGGGCTGAAAGCACGAGGGAGACTCTCCGGTTTACCGCACCAAGGGTCGGTTGACACCAATGTCCGGCGCCTTAATCTGATTCTGCATCGCCACTTGGTCAAGAGCACGTGCATGTCCCTTGCATCTCATGATGCCATGTATGAACTCTTCCAATGTGACCTGCGGGAGGCCATCGTCGTGGCGAACGGCCAAATCGAAACTGGTGCAGAATTCCGTGGGAAGTGTTGTTTTTCACTTTGCGTGGATTTTTCCAGTTGATGAGCTCCACTTGGCCACTTGGCCAACAAAGCTAGCCTAGCTTTGTGTCCTAGGGGCCAGAAATCTTACATTTCTCATGAATTTTGATTTGCCTGCATGTACTCATAGCATTGCACATTTCTGGCACAACTGGGCCCTCCAACAGTGGCTTTGATATGTTCACGGGCGTGCTTGGCCTGTTCCGCTGTTGTTAGTTTTGGCTGCAGGGCCTTACCCCCAGGCAACTGAGTAGCCCATCCGACGTTGAATTTTGGCAAGGGGCAAGTTCTGCACTTAGCAGAACGGTGAAGTTTGTGGCATGAACAGCGCTCGGAAGACGAGGTGAGCTTCTTTGGGGGCACAAAAGCACTGGCACAAACACATACTATAATCCCAAGGTCTCCCGGCAAAAGAGATCCCAAAAAGGGTCTAGAGGTGTAGAAGCAGAAGGTCTAGAGATCTAGACGCAGTGGGCTCCAGAGAAAGGTGATGGTGGCGACGACGGCGGTGATGAAGGTGGATGGTGGTGATGGTGGCGGTGGTCATGGTGATGGTGGTGATGGTGGCGATGGAGGTTTGCAAGCCACGTGCGCAGCAGGAGCACTCCAAAGACAAAATGCAGCTTTCTCTCGAGACTTCCTCCGGTTTCTGAAAGCGAGCCACATGCCCAAAAGACACGGTTCTTTGCACCTGCCACGAAATTAAATCAGAGCATGCCGAAGACCACCACCATGTCCAAAGCACTGCGGCTGGCACGAAATCCGCACATCGACATACAACCGCTCCGATCCTGTCATCAAGCCCGAAAATGCGCACGGCACCACAACAAGAGCAGTCTTGAAGGGCACCCGCGCTAGCCCACCAGATTCTGGGAGCCTGCGCAGCCGGAATGCACTTCGAAGATCCCGAGGTGAATGAATGTACTAATAGCAGCGACTTAGCCGCCGGCGGATGCGAGCACCTCGATCAGACACCCATCCTGAACTCTTACCGTGATAACCCCTAATGTTACTACACTGTTTGGGGAACAAATCTCTGACAGAACCCCTGCGAGGATCAAAGAATGCTCTCATGGGCGGTTTGGACTGGTTTAGCTTGGTCATGGATGGTTTTGGATTTGGCTTGAGGGTTGAAGGGGGGAGACAAACTCAAGCAAGAATATGCCTGGCAACGCATGTTTCGCCACACATGCAAGGCATTATATATATATATATAACTTATAACTTATAACACTAAAGCAAAGCTATGCAAACAATGTGAACAGCTGTACTCACTCGCAGGGCCCGCGGGACCCAGGCATCACGAAGGCTTTCCTGCCTTTCCTCCTGATGTCATGCTCTATCCTGACCGACTTCCTGCTTCCGTTCTGGCTTCTTCCTACTCTGCCTACTCTTTCCGGAACTTTCCGACCTTTTCCTACTCTTCCCGACTTCTTCCTACTCTTCCTAACTTCTTCCTACTCTTCCTAACTTCTTCCTACCCTTCCTAACTTCTTCCTACTCCTACTCTTCCTGTTCTTCCTTCCTTCCTTCCGTCAGTCTGTCCGTCCGTCCGTCCCTCCCTCCATCCGGCCGTCCCTCCTTCCCTCCCTCCCTCCCTCCCTCCTTCCTGTCTTGGTACCTAGCGTAGTGGATTAACTGCCCACAATCACAAGAATACACACAGAAATTGCCACGAAACACAAGGTCAATGGAGGCAAAGGGAACGTAGGCCGTGTGAAAGAGGCAAGCCGTGCCAGGCCCAAAGTTCTCAAGGTCAAGGGCTTTTCCCGGCAATCACGGTCCAATCTCTTCAAAAAAAACGAAGGCCGGCTCCAAGAATGCACTGCGGGCCTCACCATCTCCATTGTCCATCCTAAATGGCTCAACACGGTCACCAAAGTAGGCGAATCGTGCATTGGAGTCATCCAACAAGTACTACATAGTACTACATTACTACAGTAATAACTACATAGAGAGAGAGAGAGGAAAAAAATCCAAGAGGCAACAGTGAGTAGAGAAAGTACTGCACTCAAAAAACAATTGATTGAAAGATCGACAAGCATCAGGTGAAACAAAGCCGCACTTTCCTCAGGCAGTCAAAAGACCAAGAAAAACATTCCGAAATCATACTTAAAACATCTGAAAACCATCCTGTGCGGCTTGTGCTCAGCTGAAACCAAGGGCGTAGGTCTGAACCTTTGCCTCATTCGATCCTCCGAATTTTGTGTTGGGTGGATTCGTCTCCGAACGCCCGGGCCGGGCCGAGTCGAGTTTTTGTGCACTGGGATAGCGAGACCCCTTGGTTACAAGGGGCTTTTGGACCTATTGTTCTCCTTCCAGTGCTTTTTTTGGGGGGGCCTCCCTATTCTAATACACCTCCAGGTCCATATAGAATATAAGCATCAAAGAGCCACACAACCCTATATGGCTTGCAATCGGTGCATCAGTCCAGCGTTTTTCACCCAACGTTCCCCATTCCTGACACTCCAAGCATCGTGCACATCAACGTCCAACGTTTGGAAATATGTTTGTACGACCGGATTGGCCAACATCTCTGCCAACCGCTCCTGCAAACACGAGAGTTCAATCACTTGAACGGAGGACTCGGATTCGAAGCCATGACTTGCTGGTTTCTGGCTGTGCCGTTGATTTTCGTGCTGGAAGCATTCCAGCTCGACAAAACCTTGACTCGCACATTGGAATGGGGTTCACCAGGCCGAGAAGCAAAAAAGAACGCCCGCCGCCCGTCCGACCCGTCCTCTGTAATCATGCCGTCCCCGGTGGTGTCGATGGCCTTAAAAATGGCCTCCAATTTGTCGACATACTTCTTCTTGCTCTGCAAGCGTTCCACCACCGCTTGTTCGGCATCGTTGTTGGCCGCGTCCAACGTGTCCTTCCCCAACACCGACCACCACCTACCAGAACGGTCAACACCGCCAACCCCGCCTATATACATGGCCAGCTTTAACCAAAGTTGCTGCAAATTACGACTAACGGACCGACCAGCGAAACATGGCAAATGGCAAACCACACGCGACATAGAAGCACCTCCACTCATGGTGTGCGTGTAGCGCTCTGCCCAACACTTGAACATTTGGCACAGCTTTAGTAATTGTCACAGAGTTGCCAAGCGTGGCCTTCCACATGACTTTGGTCCGCCGAGAGACTCGCTGCTTCTCTTTAGCAACCATTCTTCGCGCACATGAGCCAACAGGAACTACAACTGCACCCCGTTAGTCACCACTGATGATGCTTCCAAGCTCTTGCCAGGATCTAGAAGCTAACATCATCCTTGCCATAGGGTGCAACAGCATTTGTTGGACAACTCCAAGCAGGATGGCCCAAGGCCAAGCAACTTTCAAGAGTCCGGCGAGATTTAAACAGTTGGACTTTGATCCATCTTGGCGCATCTGGGCCACAATCTTAGCCCTAAGAACCTAGCTGCACTTATCCTTAGTGTCACACAAATTTAACCCTTTGAGCAACAAAAAGCCAGCAACCAAAAACTGATCATCCACCATGCAAATGGCCACAGCCATCCATTTGCGTTCTCTCGGGTTATCACTGAAGGAAACACCTGAAGCATCAACACCAAGAAACAGTGGAACAGTTCCGGGCCATGTCCATATGCCAATCACAAATCACCTTTTCTCCAGGAGTGGTTGGTGTCGCACTCCAATGTTGGAGGACCAGCCACCCGGGACCCCCCCCAAACACGGGTACGGTACCTGCACTCGGTTGCCCAACACATGGCGGGACAGGCCCAATGCCCTCAAATGGTGCCAAATTCATTCCACAGGGCCATCAGCTGAGAGTTGTGCACGACACAGGCTACCTTGCCACACCTGGAGAAGGGTGCTGTCATGGGGAGATGTTGGTGAAACACCAGGCCCAGAAATCCCTGCCTTTGTGATTTTGTTGCAGCAATACTGAGCAACGATTTGCTCTTCCAAGTGCTATTCACGCTCGAAACCAGTGTGCTTCTCCAGATAATATGACCAACAGTCTCGCCATAGCTCACCACCCACCACCTAAACTCTGGATCCCAAGGGCAGCTGCAAGGGCCCTGTGACAATCATCCAAACGTGCTTCCAAGCAAGCAGCTCCGTCCAATACTGCGGCCCGGGCCCAGGCCCGCACCAAACCGTGCACATCTTGGCCTCTCCACTTCGCAACTTCTACGCAGGACGCCAGACTAAGACCAATCATTGCCTTGGTAAGCGTCAACCCGCTTGGTGCCAGCCCGAAGCTTGTTCCGGGGAAGTCCGAACATTCCATGTCGGCCACCTGCCCCCCAAAAATCAGCAGATACGTCATGTCGCTCTCACCAACCAAGGGTGGCCAACGCAGCCTGTCCTTCAAGAAGATCGCGGAAATCACCTCACCGGGCAACAGTTTGGACTCCGGATTATATAGTCAATGCTATAGTTGAAGATGTTGTGTTCTTTCTTTTTGAAGGATCTTGTTGTTTCCGTTGTTGGGCCAGGAGTTTCAAGAAAATGTAAGGAAAAGGGAAGGCAGTGCAGGGTTGTCGCCACAAACTGTGAAAGAAACTCTAAGTGTGACTCTCCTCCAGACCCTCCCTATGTTGGAATGGTTCCTTCCTTCCTTGCCTTTCCTGTCCTGTCCTGTCCCTTCCTTGCCCAAAGCCAAGAAGCCACGGAGCTCAAAGCGAACAAAACCACACAGCCATCACCAACCAGTAAATACAAAAATCATATGTCATAGAAGGCGGTCAAACTCCCGACCATCACACCTGTCACCAATCGCACCACCTGTCTCACTCACATCCCGGAACCATCCGTCTCCGCCAAGCCACGCGGATCACTGCAAAGACCTGTGCCGTTTCACGGGCTTGTCAAATGGCACTCAAACAACAACCCCTCCAAGGAGTGCCTCAAGAGCTATGGAAAAGTTTCACTAAACCCGGAACCAAGGCACAATGATGGTGATGTACAAAATGAAGAATATTACGTAATATTGAGACACCGATTCCAGTACCGGCCGCACGTTGACCGGCCAGTTTCCAGCAAAGGTGATCCTGAGGCGTAGAGTCAGCGAAAGCGTGGTACCCGGGGCACCGGCCCCAACATGCCCCAACAAAACAGGCTTTTGCCGGGTGAGGCTTTGAATGAATGATTAAGTCTGAGGGTTTTTATGCCTTTATGAGCTGCAGACCTGCAACAATAGAGCAACCCGAGGAGCATAGTGTCACAACTCGGCCAGGTACCCGTGTGAGATCATGAGCAAAAACTCTAAAAGAGTTATGCAACCGCGGCCGATGCTTAAACGCATGGCTGAATCGCTAGAACAGCTAGCAGCTAGATGCGTGCCAAGGGTCTCATAGAGAGTGTACAAGGCTTTGTATGCAGTCCCATAACGGTTCCAAATCCAAATCCACTCTTCGAGCGGGTATGTTTGGTTCAGCAGAAAGTCCTGTGCACGGTTGGATGTCAGTCAGCGGGCCTGCGGCCTTCCAAAAACCCAACAGCTGCCTTCGTTCGTCAACAGTCTAACGCTGTTCAGCCAAACGAGTCACCCCCTAACGCTTGAAGCTGCGCCTGCAGCAGGGTTGCGAGGATCAAGGCCCCCATGGACATGAAGATGCCAAGCAAGACCATGGCCCAACCCAAGGAGGGCAAGAAGCACTGACAGGCTTTCCTCAGTGAGGCACTACAAATACATATATACACATATATATATATATATACAATATATATAGTATATCAATATACAATATACTGTTTTATATGTACTGCATGTGATAAGCTTTCCGAAGTCACAAAGACCTCTCTTGAGTGGAAAGTGGATTTGGGGGGTCCAGTATCTCAAGCGAACTCAGCAGTGAGGCAGCTTTGTCCTAAAGTCAAGTCAGTGTGGGGCTGGAGGAACCAAGAGGAAAAGTCGCATGATTGCGGCTCCCTCATCACTGTAGCTGAAGCCCACTTCTCTGCTTTAGCTTCCACACTGGGCTGACTTACACTTTCAGGAAGAAACTGATATTGATCCCAAGTGGCCCCAAGGCGAGGGAGTTAAGGAAAGCTGTAATTTGCACGAAGGAAACGTGCGAGCATCTTTACGGCGGAAGTCCCGGGGGCCAGGTGGGCAATCCTCTTCTCTCTCAGCAAGGGCAGAAAAGCGTGGGGCCCAATGCGGCTCAAATATTGTAGGTTGGAACTACTGAACTAGTAACAAGTGCAACGCTACTAGTAACAAGGGCATTCATTACTACTAGTAGCAGGAGCTACCTAGTGGATTCTGTTTACTGTTTACTAGTAGTAATGCCCTTACTGCCCGTACTAGTAGCTTCTTGCTACTACTCACTACTCGTAGCGCCTTTAGCTACTACTCATGGCCAGGATAGGAACATCGCCCAATCTCAAAGCGTTCAGCAGTGGCAGTCAAAGCGTTCAGGTTTGCATTGCCAGCCCACCACACCGCCCGGGCGCTCGCACATTTTTTGGATCTTTTGTGGGGTGCTGTGCCTACATGGTCCGCAGCTGATCCTCGATGCCACTGCAATCACCCCCATGCTGTGGATCTCCCCAGGTGATGATGCGGCCATCCGCCAGCATTGCAGCAAAGGCACCTGCAAGCCATCGGGACATCGGACAACGCCGTCACATCGTCACCCAAAATCACCCGAACACAGGACCAGTGACGGGCCCGAGCCGAAAACTAGAAGCTGCCGAAGCAGCCCTGCCTCCAGAACCGTGTATCGTCTGCACATTTTGGAGCTGATCTCTGACGCTGCTGCTGTCCCCCCCAAAGGTAGCACTGCCCCAAGTGACCACAGTTCGATCAGACAAGACAGCTGCAAAGGCCAGGTCACAGGAAAAAATCTGCTGCACATCTCTCAGTTGATCCTCAAGCAGGACCACAGTTCAGACTCGGCATGGATTTCCAACACCATAAACAAAAACGAGCGAATCTCAATGCTATCTCAATGCTATCTCATGCTCATGGATTGCTCCAATCCAGGTTCACTGGGACTCTCACCGCAGCATACCCCACCCAAAAACGAACCGAAACCGCCCACGGCGCTCCCCCGCTCCGCTCCGCCGTCCTGGACCGCGCGGCAGTCCCCTCCGAAGCGTGGATCGCCCCAGGTCACGACGCCTCCAGAGGCCAGGAGCGCCGCAAAGGCGCGATGCGAGGAGGTCAAGTGCTGCACCTCCCGACCGACCCGTGCAGCGAATCCGCCGCGGGATGTCGTACGGAACGTCGTTTTCGGAACGAGGTGAAGGGGAATCCGTGAACGGAGTGAACCAGGAACGACGGTCCACGGAGGTCAGGCTCCCCCCCCCAAAAAAGAAGGACAAACGGACCTCAAAAAAGAATCGGAAAATCAGAAATGGAAAGAATCGGAAGCCCTCAAAAGAGGCTGAAGACGAATCGGAAAATGATGGACCGGTGGGACCAAAACGCATGCAGGAGAAATGTTCTGCTAGACCTCTGATAGGCAAGCAGGCCCATTAGTCTCGGCGACACCGGTTCACTAGAGGCGGTGTAGAAATCAGTTCCGACCGCGGAGCCTGCTTCAACTGAGCCTGCACTGCACTGCAGTCCGCACCGAAGGTGGGATTACCCCAGGTGCTTACGGAGCCATCGGTGAGAAGGGCAGCAAATGCGCCACCCGAGGCCCGGATCAGCTGCACGTCCTTCAGCACATCTCCATTGAATGGGATCACCTGGGGCTTGGTTGAATCGATGAGTGGGCATCAGTGGGCTGCTTTGAAAAGGATGATGACCAGGTTTGGGTTTAAAACACATCGACAATGGCACCACTCACTTTCTTGCGTCAAATGAGAATGTCTCGCCTTTTCTTCAAAAACCGTTTACCCCACCTTCCCGGTCGCCACGTCGACTTGCTCCTGGGCCTCGCAGGGGCCGCCATAGTCCCAACTGCCCCAGATCACCACCGAGCCACGCCCCGTGCGCGCCGCAAAGGCGCCGAGCGTGGCAACGAGGTCCTGCACGTCCCTCAGGTCATCCCAACGAGCTGGGTAGCTGGGTCTATGTGAAGCAGCTTTTCGCTGCATTCACAACAAGCAGCAACACCTCTTCATAGCCCCAAAATGTGCTCGTGAGCCTACTTCAAACACTTTGCGCGGCATTGCTCAAGAGGTTCCTTAAACTTACGTAATATTCCGCACATGCCGCTGGGCTTCAGTCGTGGGTGCATGCACGGTCGAACCCCTCAATGACTGGCGTCCGAGCACCTTACCGAACCGCGAAAGGTTCAACAATACCCGGGCCAACCAACCCAAATTGCACGCACGTTCGCCCTCTTTTGCCCAGGTTCTCCAGCTGATCTTTCACATCGCTGCTGTCACCACCTCACAGGAGTTGAATGAAACCCTCCCCCCACCCTCCATATGTCTCCATGACCTCTCAGCCTCGGTGTGTCCCACCTCCATTGGGATCGCCCCAGGTCACCACCCTGCGATCCTGCCGGAGCGCCGCGAAGGCACTGTAGGAGCCACAGATCTCCTCGACGTCGTACAACTGCGTCTGGAGGCTGCTCGGGATGTTCCCACCGCGCCCCTCGTCGCCAAAGGCGACCTGGGTCCCAGGGGGCCGAGCACAACGAGCCGACGTGGCGAAGGGGCGCGCGGCGCAAGAGACTTGGGTGGAAAGCCAATGAATCAAGTTGAAGAAACATGTGAGAAAAACATTGTGATGACTTGAATCTCTCAGCCCAAGGGGGAAAGAAGGCACAAAACATGTTATGTAACAACTGTAGTAGCCTTAAAATTGGTTGATTGTTTGGCTAGTAGTCTGGATTGAATTAGGAGAGCCTTTCTATTGATGGCATTTCTGATGTGGATGAACTTCAGACCCAATCTTCACCCACACTTCAAGACAGCTTTTGGCCTTCAAGAGGGTAGGGGGTTGGAGAACCCATACCTGAAGCAACCTTCTGGGCAAGTGTCAAAGCTCCAGGCCCACCCGCCCAAAACCCCAGTCCCCCCCAGCCGATCCCAACGACGCCACGGCGCCACGGAGCCATCCTTCCGGATGGCTGCAAATGCGGAGAGGTTCGAGGCGATGGAGCGCACATCCGTCAGGCTCTCGCGCACGGGCTCGTCCATCTGACGCCTCATAAAGGAGGCCATAGTGCCCCAGCAGACCACCCGGCCATTGCCAAGCAAGGCAGCGAAGCCACGGCCAGAGGGCTGGACCTGCCTGCCGGGCTGAGACCAAAAGAGAGGTATCAATCAACACCTTAGGTTGAGGTGTTTTATGTTTGCATCGGCTGCTCCGGCCATCTCCGGCCTCAAGTCATCAATTTGACCCTGAACTCCGCTGCAATCACCTCCTTGCTCCCGATTTCCCCAGGTGATCAGCCGGCTTGGGCTGATGTCATCTTGGCCTCTCCAAATTGCAAAAGAGGACCTGCGCCATGCAAAATTCACAAGAGTTCATGTTTGGATGGTCACACCCCTGACCTCTGGTGCGGCACTTCCCTTTTCTGGATCCAAACAGTCTTGACGTTTTGACCTTTCCTTCACACAACGGGGCACCTGCCAGCCACTATGTGGGGCGCTTGCACCACAGCTGTAACCAGGCAGCCCTCCTCCAGGCCCTCGGCAAGCACGGTGGAATTGATGGGCAAAGCACGGCCGCCCGCCCAGAGGCGAAGGAACCTCAGCTCACGAGGTTCGGATCCCCAACCGCACTCCTGAAAACAGACCAAGCGGAGGGTCCAAAACCTTTCGTTACAAAGACGCACTTTAAAAGGTGTGGTCTCTGGATTGCCTCTGCATGTGCCCCTCCGGTCCCGCAACCGCGGGTCCCGCAACCGCTTGGGCCCAGCAGCCCTCGCCCCAGTGCCTTCTCCGCGGCGGCTTTCAGCTCCCCCACGCTCCACTCCGGCGAGCACTGCACGGCGGCCGATCGGCCGCTCGCCAAGGCGACGTGGAGCTCCATGGCGCGGTGCCACGTCTGGACCGTCTGCGATGCTGGTTTTGGTGGGATGATGGTCTGGTCACCCTTGACGAATCATTCCCAAGCGAAAGCAATGAAGAGCGCACAGCACCTGATTGTTATGTTGCAGTCCTTGCTTCTATGCCGCTCGTTGATTGAGGCATTGGCCCAAAAGCTTGATTAGGTCCACCTAAGCCGTGGTTTCAGTTTGAGTGCTTTGTGAATGCACCTCCTACTTCCAGAAAGGATCGGCGAGACACCAGCAGGCTGATGCATTCTCTGGTCTGCAAGCCCCAAGTCCCCGCCCATGACCTCAAAAATGCCCTTCACGGCTACTGTAGTTTGATTTTTAGGAGGATCTTGCAGTCAAGACACACCAAAAGGCGGAGTCCTTTGAAAAGCCTCAGGGTCCTTCCGGCGGTGTCTGAGTCGGTGTTTTCTTGCTGTATGTAGTAGGCCAAGTAGGCGTTGACCAACCCCCACAGCCAATAGTAGAAGAATCCTGAGCCTCCTTCACTGTAGCAAGAAAGCAAGCAAGCAAGCAAGCACGGAAGCAAGCAAGCAAGCAAGCAAGCAAGCAAGGAAGGAAGCAAGCAAGCAAGGAAGCAAGCAAGGAAGCAAGCAAGGAAGCAAGCAAGGAAGCAAGGAAGCAAGGAAGCAAGGAAGCAAGCAAGCAAGGAAGCAAGCAAGGAAGCAAGGAAGCAAGGAAGCAAGGAAGCAAGGAAGCAAGGAAGCAAGGAAGCAAG